ATGTAAATATGATGTATTTAATTATATCCACAAATTATAAAGTTCAGAATTCTAAACTTTAAATTACCCTACACATGTCACTGTTACATTTTAACAGGACTGAAGCTGATAATTAGAAATAAAAGCAGAAATATATGAATGGACCAATAAATAATTAACCATATTTGTTTTTTCCACAAATGTTTCTGCAGATAATTTAAATTGTACCATTTTAAAAATAGAATTAATATTTATTTTTTTGTCTTTTACATGCATTTGTGTCTCTTTAATGATTTTTCCCATAGATTGTCTCTTGCTTTTATTTTACTTTCTGCCTCAATAGGGTGGGCGGAGCTTCTTGGGTCAGCTCCTCTCCTATTGGTCAGTAGTGCAAAGTTTAGTTTAAAACTAAAGCACAGGTAAATGTTTTTTTCCCTCACTGTCTTTGTTTTAAGTTAAACTGAAGCAACACAGTAGATCTGCACATGGACCCTGCTACTTCCTGTCTGTTGACCAACAGCTGATCCAAGAAGCCCCGCGCACTTTATTGAGGCAGAAATGTAAAAACACATGGAAATATAAAGACTTATGGGGAAAAACTTTTAAGTGACACGTATGAATGTATAAAAAGGAAAAACATGTTTTTAAAAACAGTTAAATGTTAATTATGTGCTAAAATATATAATTTATTGGAACTAAGCTGGAAAAGTAAATCTAAAGGTCAAATAAATTATAAAAACATGAGGTAAAGTTCTCCTTTTTTATTTAATTGTTGCATTTTAATTATTTATTTACTATTATTGGTCCATTTATATTATGTCAGGTTTACTCCTGAGACCAAAACACCATGTAACAACTAACAGAAGCTCCTCAAACATCCCCAACGTTGTGAGTTAAGCTGTTCACCTGTCCAACAGGTGAGGTCAGTATTTACCCTGCAGACGGGGCAGGTGTGGACGAGCGCAGCCTTGGCGGCAGTTTTCTGGTCGGCACCCTGACCTTTCTTCTTCTCCGCCGCCTTCTTGGCGTTCTTCTGCTGGGACTGAATCTTCTGCTGCCCACGAGCCATGGCCCTCCGCTTCGACCTGTGGGAGGAGGGAGTTTTATAAGGTCACCTGAGGACAGCTGCTGGCTTCCCACTGGCTGAATAAAATATAAACAAGCTGATTTATTCCTCAAGAATTATTTAAACCAAACTTTTTTTAAGGTGAACTTAAACAGAAAATCATTTTTAAATATCACAAACTCTAAATTTATTTTATTTCTTACCAACAGTGCAAATTTTACTGTAACAGGTTTACATTATTTTTTCATATTCTGATTATTTTTTAAAGTTTATAATCTTTACAGTTGTTTTAGCACACACTGTTCAGTAAATCGTTTAATAAAAAGTTTAGTTCAGTAAAAGCTGAAATAAATAAAAATTAATACTTAAGAGGATGTTTTCAGTTCTTACCGCTGCAGTATCTCAAAATATTTAAATTCATGAAAAAGATTTAAATTTGAATTTTATTTAAAGCAAAACAAGAAAATTAGAATTGTATACTGCTGCAGTTTAAAAACAGATGCAAATTATGATAATTTCTATAATAATGTAATTAAAATTCAACCATTTTATTTAAACAATACATAAAGATCTACTAGTTCAGAGAATATAAATTAATCTTCAAACCATTATTATAGTCCTAAAATAAGCATGCAGGAGGAATAATAAATCTTTAGTAGATCAGTTTATTTGTCAAAAGCTGAAAAACAGCATTAAACTTACCTTTTATTTTAATAAATTTAACATTTTAGTAAAACAACACTGTGAGACAGAAGCTAATTAAATTACATTTGTCCATTTTCTAGTTTAGCATAAACACAGTTAAAAACAGACTAATTATAGATAAAATAATTCACAATAATACACATAAACAAAAACTAAACCTAGTTTGTTTTGGAGGCGAGTTTTTGTCTCAACATCGTTAGCAAAGCTAGTTAGCCTAGCTACAAATCAAACGACACAAACAACCTACTAAATACATCAACTTTACTTAAATATGCTTGTTTTTATGGATCAGCGACTGTCAAGTTAAACAATTAGTTTTGTTTAAAACGGTCTTTATCTAAAATACTTCGCTATGCTAATGCTAATGCTGTTAGCTCGTGGGAGCTGAATAATTAAAACGACTGTCGAGCGAAGCAACAAATATCTAAAACATTCAGTACACAACTATAAACAGATCCATGTTGCAGTAAACATTTTAAATAGTCGTTAAACACAGAAATGCTTCTATTTGTTGGAGGTTTACCTTCGACAATCGACGCTGTCTCCACTCCTTTTCACGTTTTTTTTCTAGCTAACCGGAAGTAGAATTCATAGACCTTAAAGACGACGGGGCGCCCTCTGGTGGACGGAGGCGGAACTACAACCTCTGCTGCAGATTGATGGCCTTTTTTTCCTACATTTTTTTGTTACTTTATTAATTTAAAATTGTTTTCCTGTTTGTTTTTTCTTTTTTTCTCTAATTTTTTTATTAGAGTTTGGCTTTACAAATAGCAACAATTGACTTTATTAAAGTCAATTGTTTATTAAATTGTTTATTAAATTGTTTATTATTAATTGTTTACTAAAGTCAAACACACTTGATTAGAACACAAACTGAAGAGTTTACTCATCTGATTGTTTTTAGACATTTTATCAACACTAAGAACGTTGTTAATGTTCAAACAAAATCTGAAAAGAGACTTGTAAAAAGACATGGGTTTTAAATGATTAAGACAGAAGCTTGGATCACAGTTTCACCACTTTATTACAGTAAATGAGTCAATTTACACACAGAGAACAGAGACAGGTTTGTGTTTTCTTTCTCTCTCCTTCCCCTTCGAACAGCTCGACACGTCAGAGTGAAAACAAACAGCTCGAGACAGAAAACAAAACCACGATCAGGTAAATAAAGCATAACAATCATCTTCCTCCACATCTTCAGATAAAATGTCGTTAGCAGCAACTCATCATTTCTGGTTCTTTAACTGGAGTCAAATAAACCTGACTTCTCTCTCAACACTGAGCATCAAACAAACAGCCGACAGGAAGAAACATCTGGAAACAGATCAAAAGAAAAATGATTCTGACAGCACATTTTCAGCAAAACTGGAACAAAAAGCTTAAAAACAAAAGTTATAAATACATAAAATTATTTCACCAGTGACAGTCCAGGTTGTTTTATTTGATTTGAAAGCTGGAAAGTTCCCTCAGCTCTGCTTTAAAAGGTCCAATAAGGTTCTGAAACTGAATTTAATTTGTTGATGAAAAGCCTGAAGGGTTTTTAAATTTAAAGAAAAATAAGAAAACCAAAGAGCCTGATAAAATGTGTGATTTATTACCTTAACAATGTAAAAAACAAAGAGACATTTTATCTGTAAGACTTGGCTCATTTTCTGATTAACTTTGTCTAAACTTCCCTCCGAAGTGGAAGACGACGTTTCAAAACTGAACAAAACTGAATTTTCACAGTTTGAACAAGAAGAACAAGAAAGAGAGAGAAAAAGACACAAAAATTAAGTGGTTGTTGTTGGTTTTTTTCCCCGTATTTACATTTTAAATCGTGATAAAAAGAAACTTATTTACAAAAATGCACAAACTAAGACTTTCTGTTGACGATGAGGGAAATATAAACAACTGTGTCGTAAAAAGAAATAAAAATCGGTGATATTTACAGAAGAGTGCGGATAGAAATGGCTTAAAGTAAAAAAAAAAAAAAAAAGTCGGCAGGTTTTATTTTTCACACTTCTTCATGGCTACAGGAAGTCAGAGCTCTGACCCGACAGGAAGTGACCTCATCGTTGGACGCAGACCGCGCCGCTCGTATATTTAAAATCAAGACTCAAACCAGCAGGACGGGGATCCAAATATTCTACAAACTTTCAAGTGTTTTTATTTTATTCCTCTGTGCACGGCGGGCTGCTAACGTCAGACACAAACATGTAGAAAACGTTCTCTGAGCTCCTAAACTCCTCAAACTGCTGAAGTCAGAGACGAGTCGACACAAACTGCTGCTTTAAAGGGATTTTCCTGCAACGATCTGAAGCTAAATCATGTTTAAAAAGCCAAAACACTGATTTAAACACTTTATAACTTTATATAAGAAAAGACAAATAAATAAATAAATGCCTCATTCAGGTGTTTTCTGACATTTTTAACTAATAAACATTTAAAAAACGATAATTAGGTTTGTTTTTGGTTGCCTCGAATCGTTTAAAACGTCACAAAATCAGCCTGAAAACAGAAAACAAAGTAACAGGAAGTGGGAGTTTTAATTTAAAAACTAATTATTTGGGATTTCTAAAAAAAAAAAAGGCATCAAGTGATTAAAATTCAGAGCATAAACGTTTCCCACAAAAATACTGAGAAAGTTGTCAAATTAATGTTTCTTTTTACTTCAGGTGTTTTCTGCAGCTGACGGGAGGAAGTTGGTTGTTTTCATCGTTACTGATGATGATGATGATGATGATGACGATGATGATGATGAGTCGTTTCGACCCGTGAACCCCGGGGATCTCTGTATGAAGCAGAACTTTAATCCCATCTAGAAATATTTTCACTTAATTTTAAAAACAGCCAAACTGACATTTTGACAGAAGAAAACTTCTGACATTTTCTAGACACGTTTTTTTTAAATAATTCGGCTGATTTTTAAGTCAAATTAAATCTAAAAACAGATAAAAGCTTCCTGTCTGGGTGGATTTAGGCCCAGATTAACTCCATCCATGTTTGTCAGCTGATTTTAACCTGGGATTAATCTGATCCTCCACCCAGAGTTAAACTCCTGATTCTGGCCGAGCGGCTTGTTTAAAAACACTGAAGGGTTGAAAACAAAAAGGAAGTCTAGAGACCAAACGGTTGTCATCAGATGATTATTTCAGTTAGACAAATAAATAAAACACAAACTGCTGATTAAAACAGAGAGTTATATTTCAGAGGACCAGCCCCGACTCGTTCATCCTGGCAGCTGAAGAACCGACAGTTTGTTTTTACAGAAACAGATCAGTAACAGACAGCAAGCAGCACGGAGGAAAGCTTTGTGTGTGTGTGTGTGTGTGTGTGTGTGTGTGTGTGTGTGTGTGTGTGTAGCCTGCAGATCCACAGAAGCTGCTTCAGATGCTGTTTAGGGATCCAGAAACTGAACTGTGTTGAGATGAGTCTGAGACGGAACCATCTGAGGAGCAAAAATAAACCTGATTATTAAACTTTTATTTTATTTTCTCGCTGCCATCTGGTGTTGAAACGCAGCGGTGCAGGGTCCGACCGGGTTCTGGTTCTGTAAAAACTTCAAGGTTTTTCTCACCGTGGACAGAAGCGACTGTGTGTGAGCGAGCGTGAGGAGGGATGAGGATGAAGTTCAGCTGAGGCTGGATGGAGAGCTCTGCAGAAAAACAACAACAGAAACAAACTGGAGGATTAACGAGGCGAGCAGGGGGCGGAGTCTGTGGAGCTAAATTAGGGTCATAAGTTCTGTTCAAAAACAAAAAGTTTTTGAAACTGAATTTTTTTTTTATTGAAACTGAAAAACATTGAAACTGAAAAACATTGAAACTGAAAAAAAT